CACACACACACACACACACACACACACACACACCACACAGGAGTATCCTTTGAAGCACAGAGACACAATAAATGACTGGATACGGGGAACCCTTCCAAGCTGGGGCCAAAAACTGTGTAACAGTGCTGCTTTCTTTAATCTGCGTCCCAAAGCCTCCAATTAACATCCAGCAGGCCCCTTGAAGCCCGCAGTCTCTTCCCCAACAACCAGGACAGTTACAAATTGAAGACGTTTAACGTGCATGAAGTGGATGGATTAGAAACTGAAATAAGAGACCTAAGTGCAGCAGCCTTATTGCTCATCATGTTAAATGTATGGATGTATGTAATAATTTGTGTTCATTGGATCTGGGAGGGGGAGGGGCTTGTGGACTTAATTGGGCTCAGTTCAGACTAGTAGAGAGTGGAGCCACACAGTCTTTTGACCTCTCTGTCCTCATCTCTCTTTTTGTATACTTTTGGATTAACCTGTATCTGTCTTTTGTTTATTTTCTGTTTAAGTAAACATTGAAACTTTGATCATTTGGTCCTGTGGATTTTTTGGATGAAAATTACATAAGAGAGGAGCGACGGCTTCATTCAGTGGATACCGACACTAAGTACGGTTACAATAATTCTGAAGTCGTCAGGTATGAAAGCTCATTACAGAACAATCATTCATCTGAAGAGCAGCTACAAGTTAAACCAAATGACAGTTCATTTGGTTTAAGAGTCACTGATGGATTTATGGGTAATCATATCTAAAATCAGGGTTGTACCACAGGCAGGAAGCTGACAGGGTTTGAATCTGTCACACAGTAAGAAATATATATAATAATATAATATAACATATCTTTACCAGAGAAGTTTGATCCATTTAAAATGTCAGCTGCTCCGTTGGATACAAAAAGGTCTCCTGGTGAAACGTCCAATCCTGGGAGGCTGACCACCACGGAGCTCCGCCTCCTCTCCTGGAGCCTGAAAGGAAACAGGTTTAGAATCAGAATCAGATTTATTGTCCAGGTATGTTTACACACACAAGGAATTTAACTTTGGTGAACTGTGCTCTCTTATGTACAGGTACAACATTAAATATCAACAATAAACAGAATAAGAAAAGACTAATATTTACATGACTAAATATGAAACAGTGCAGTGGTGAATAGTGCAAAAGATGCTGAAGTAACATGAGAAGTAAAATGCAGTTATGTGACAGATGGGTCAATTAAGATGTCAGTTACAGTATTTACATCAATAAGTGTGCGTGTATTGATCATTTAAATTAAAGAATATACATATATATATATATATATATATATATATACACACACACACACACACACACACACACACACACACACACACACACACACACACACACACACACACATATATGTATATTCACAGTGACGGTTGGGTCTGGGGGAAGGAACTGTTTAAGTCTTCAGGTGGTGTCACAACTTTATTTCCAAGGGTTGCAAAGTAATGCTTGACTCAAAGAAAAGTCCCATCATCTGAGATGAACTGTCTCTGCTTTTTCAAAATGCAGCGCAGCACAAAAAGGAAAAAGACGTTGTGCAAAGCAACAGGAAATAACAGAATTCCTTTTGTCATTTTGACGTGGTTGAAATGCCATCGAGTTACCATCTGCATTGTGCAGCAGAGTTAGGATTAACATGAGCATCAGGAATCAAAGAGGCTAAGTGTTTTGTGTCTGGCTTTATGAGTGGAAATCTGCTGATTAATAACAGATCAGCCTATGTGTTTGTGTAAGGAGACGAGCTGTGAGTGTGTGCCGTGTTCTAATCCTCTTGGTCTCCTCTGCACAGTTACTAACTGAGGCTTTGCTGCTGCTGGAAAAACACAGGCCTGCCTTTTAGCCCTCAGGGTAAGCTCACACAGCCTACTGTTCTCAAGTGTTTTGACTTATCCTCTGCTGATGTACGCCAAGGATTACTGCTCAAACTAAAAAAATATACATTAATGTGTTGAAATTACAAAACAAAGATCCTTAAAGGAATGAAATTCCAAACCAAATATCTTAACGGCATGGCTTGTTTGATGTTTCTCTTGTTGCAAGGATAAAAAATTCCAAACAAACTTGATTGGTGACTTTCTGACTCAAACATCATAATCCAACAATAACAAGAGGATTCTACTCATCAACCTCTTCATCCCTACGGCCCCTATTTCTTGGTTTATTCTCGAACATTGCATACCCAAACTTAACAGAGTATATCTCTGCAGCCATCAGGTCTATAAGAATACAACTTGGTATCATGATAAAGATAACTCTTTAGAGATCCACTCAGGAGTGTAAGACTCATCATATATGTTACTGTGTCAGTGTAAATACAGATGGAACATCTGCACAGTCCTTCTGCACCTTTAAGAAAAAGCTAAAGAGCCAGCTCTTTATGAATACCTACTAACTTAATGATGATGGTCTCCATATTATTGATGATGATGATGGTAATGACGATGGTTTTTGTTTGATAACGACGACTTATAAGATGGTTTCTATACTGATTAGAGCTCTCAAGAACTGCCCTCAATGTTGTGCTTTGCCTCTGGTCACTTCCTGTCAGCACCTGTGTGTCCAATCAGACTCAAAGCTGATCGTTTGCTCTTACTGACATTGTTCCCTTTTTTCTAGATCCTTGCTTGTGTTGTTCTTACTCTCTGATGTACGTCGCTTTGGAGAAAAGAGTCTGCTCAGTGAATTGTAGAATTGTAGGAACATAGCATAAATGTAAGATTTCATTTCCGCCTAAATTATTTTTCTATTCAGAGTAAATATTCCCCAGCCTCTGTAGCTCTATTGAAATCCGATGTTTCTCTTCATGCAAGGATAAAAACATTTCAAACAAACTTGATTGGTGACTTTCTGACTCAAACACATCACAATCCAACAATAACAAGAGGATTCTCGTCATTAAAGAAGGCAGCAACAGTCAGCAGCTACGAGCTGTGCAGCAACCAGACGGGCTGGTTTTACTGAAAGGTAAGGTTCACTTTCAGCACACTGACGCTGATCGACAGCTGGTCAGTGACCTGTGTCAACATGTTAAGGTTTTTTTACTCAGTATTTCAGGGTCTGGAATTTAAGAGTTTTGACATCAGGGTTTGAAGGGAATGTTAGAATAATGGAGCAAATAACACAAAATCTGACCATCGATATAGGATCAAATAAGACCATTACATCAGGTAAGTGTTGACAAAGGTTATCAGGACATGATCAGACCATAAGGAAGCCAGGCTAACTGTTTATGATAACAACACAATAAAGTGGGGCAGAAGTACAAGCAGGAGGAACAATCCCAGTCTGCCCACTAAGCATGCTTTAGTAGAATTAATGAACTTTCTTTCTTCCTCAAACAGAAAACTGCATTGCAGCTGCTGAGCTCGCACCGTTGCACAAGCAGCAGCAAACTTGACTAACTCGAATGCACATGCAGGCCACACTGCTGCAGGAACAATCTGTGCACGATGAGTTGGACTACAAGCAGTACTTTTGTTTAACTGTGAAAGCATCTTCTGTTCATTGCTTTTTACTAGTGGGGGGCTGTGGTAAACTGACACCCCCCACCCATCCCCCGCTCCACACACACTTCCTGATCAATGTATAGGCAGTCAGTGCTGAATCAGTAAAACCAGAGAGTTAGTCAGCTGCAGCACCTGAGCAGTGTACAGGACCCCGGGCTAATGGGACGGTAAGAAACCAGGTCAGTGCCTCCTCGCGGCTCATTCCACAGCGTCCTCACAATGGCATCCTGTTGCTTTGTGAGCGTGCAGAAAGCTTCCTCTGTGTCCGCACTCTCTGCCACCGAGGACACTTGTTCCCCGCACAAGAGAAATAATGATGCCCCCCCACCCAAAAAAAAACCTGTCCTGACCAATGCCTCGCAGGGCCTGGGCCACTGCAAGAGGCACAGTGCCAGGGCGTAATTACAGGAACAATAGCTGCCTAATTATCCAGTGATGGGAAGAGCCCTGCAGCCCCATTAGGAGGGGTGTGGGTGGCAGCGAGAGAAAGCCTTAATGAGGGTTTGTCTAGTCCATACATAACCATGGGACTCTCCAAACTTAACTTCACAAAGACATGAGTGACAATGAATGCACAATGGGGGCTGCTTTAAAGCAAACATCCAATCATCATGCTCCCTCATGGCGTGCCACTCATGATGTGGAATCCACATGCTATAGATCATATTGTTAATAATAATAATAATAATAATAATAATAATAATAATAAATTAGATTTATATAGTGCTTTTCTAAATACAAAAAGTAAGAGAACAATAAAACAGAAGTAGTGTGGAGGGAAGAGGATGAAGAGGTGAGTTTTTAGGGATTTCTTGGAGGAAGTGAGTGTGGGGGGAGTCTCTGATGTTTTTAGGGAGAGAGTTCCAGAGGGTGGGAGAAGGAGAAGGCCCTGTCCCCCTGCAGGACCGAAGGTTGGACCGAAGGTTGTCCTGCAGGAGGGGGGATCTGCAGACCTGAGAGTGCAGGTGGGGAGTGTGCTTGTTAAGTTCTGACGACTTGGTTTCATTTTTTTATCACCGGCTCACTGTGGAAGTTATAGTCACACAGTGGAGAGGAAATCATTTGACTACATTCCTGATATGCAAAAAAAACATGATGTGATCTGATCTGAACTTGAAAGTAAAAGTCCTGGGTGCAGAGCATACAGACAAACATGCAAAACAGTCCAAGGTCCACTTACCTATTGAGCTCCTTCTCCTGCTGAAAAAAGAAGAAAAAGCTACATCAGTCGTTGCAAAAAAGTTTAAACTTTAAATCACATTATGCTCTCTTGAAGAGATGCATTTTAGATGTACTGAGATGCTCAACAAGGAATTGAAAGTTATAGCATACATATAATCAGACACTTCCTTTTATGTTTCCAAAAGTGTAGTTCTAATGTTTTTGACATGCCATATCACCAGTGTGTTAATGTACAAGGAGCATTAAACAGAAGCTGCAGGAACCTCCTCCTGCTAACAACACACACACCACCAT